GCTGGGCCGTTGCCAGGCCGCCTGCGACGCTTCTGAAACGGTTGGTGTGCCGTCCTGGGGCCCCCCGGGGGCTGCGTCGGCACCTTCTTGGGAAGGTCTGAGGCGGTCGTGGGGTGCTCTTGGGGGCATCTGGGCCGTCCTAGATCGTGCAAGCGCCTGGACCGCAGAATCACGAGAACCCTTCAACAACTCATGAGCTAGTCAATGAGAGTTGTCCCTTGGGGCGGTTCGGGGGACGTCCTTGGAAACAGTTTGGGTCGTCCTGGAAGCCCAGTGGGCCCTGGGGGGGGGCATCTGGGGCATGTTGAGCGCCTCCATAAGCGATGGAAGGCGCTCTTTGTGCGTGTCGGGGGCCTCAGGGGGCTCTCCTGGGCTGTCTGGGGGCCGGGTCGCCTGAGGGCGCCTCGGAGGCCGTCTTGGGGCCCCCGAGGGCTGCATTGGCATGCCTGACACATGCACATATACATACATATAGACATATAGACATCCATCCATCCATCCATCCATCCATCCATCCATGCATGCATGCATGCATGCATGCATGCATGCATGAATGCATACATACATACATACATACATACATACATACATACATACATACATACATACATACATACATACATACATACATACACCTACATATACACACATACATACATCAACCTGTATACACACATGTATGTATGTATGTATGTATGTATGTATGTATGTATGTATGTATGTATGTATGTATGTATGTATGTATGTATGTATGTATGTATGTATATATGTATATATTTATGTATGTGTGTATAAATGTATGTATGTATGTATGTACGTATGTGTGTATGTATCGTTGTATATAAGTATATAGGTATACATGTTTGTATGTATGCGTGTGTGTACGTATGTATGTACGCATGTATGTTTGTATGTCTGCATGTATGTATGCATGATTACATGAATGTATGTATGCATGCATGCATGCATGCATGTATGTATAGTTGTATACGTGTCTGTGCATGTTAGTAACATTCGTTCTAGGTGTTTGCAATGTAGGCGCATATGCACATATATGCATGCATACCTGCGTATGTACATTTATGCATGCACGCATACATGTGTTTAAGTGTGCGAGCGTATACGAAAATATATATATGTATGTATATATATACATATATATATATGTGTGTGTGTGTAACAATGTGCGTATGGACGCGCAAACAAACAAGACGGATCATATATTGTCGGTTCCTGGTGCCCGTGAAACCATACTGGGGTGTTTGTGGGTGCCGTCAGGTGGCTGTCTGGTGCGTGTTGGGAGCCTTTTGTCAGCGATTCGGGGCGTTTTTGGATCGTCACGGGGGCATATTGGGGCTCTCCTGGCCCGTCCGGGGGCGGTCTGGGGCGGCTCCGGGGCCGAATAAGGGGGAGGTCCGAACGGCCCAGAACGCCCATGTACAGTCGACGCAGCTGGTCGGGAACCGCCAGCCCTACCACCCTCCACCGCCCCCTCCGCGACACTCGCGGACGGCGAGCATGTCCACACACGTGCCCTCGCGGTCTGGCTGGCGAGACGCGACCACATGGATACGCGATCCATTACGCCCCACGCAGGGCATTTGCGCGGAACCGCTTGGCACGAATGGCATCGAAGCCAGGGATCGGACCGGACGAACGGGGCGGGGAGCGAAGGGCGGGTTCGCAAGTCAGCTCACTGTCTTTCGCGGCGACGCCCAACGTCAATGGCGCCAGTGCCTCCTCCGCCCCCCCCCTCCCCCAACCGAAGTTCACACGCTGCGGTTGGGGGGACGGGGGGCGGAGGAGGAGGAGGAGGACAGGGAGGAGGAGGAGGAGGTTGAAGACGAATATGAAAATGATAGCGACGAGGAGGGACTGGGCGGGGGGAGGCGACGCCGCATGATCCCCAATGTCGATCCAAAGACATAGGAAGTTGGGCCGTCCTGGGGACGTCCTGAAGTTATCTGGGACGTTTTGGGCCTTTGTTGGGCCTCTCTTGGAGCTTTGCTGGGCGATCTTGGAGACAACTGGAGGTGGGCAGCACCCCATCGGAGCCGAAAAAATCAGGGCGCCACAAACATTGAAAACACAACATGTTGTTGTATGATTCGAAGCCGTCGGGGGCGGTGCCCTTGGGAAGCCCCAAACGTTTTAAAGTCCATCCTGGGGCCTTCATCGATGAAGAGATGTTGACCTCAAGTGGGCACTTTAGAATTGTCCTGGGGCCATTGTGTGCGTACTTGTCCCGCCCCGGGGAAATATTCGGGAACTCTTCTGTGCGTTGCAGCCTTCTGGAGCCGTCTCGGTCTGTATTGGACGTCTGGGAGGGCCGTAGTAAAACCGTACCGCGGACATGTTGCCTATGTGCCGGGGGCCTGGACATGGACCTGGTGATCCCAGTATGTGTGTGTGTGTGTGTGCGTGTATGTATGTGTGTAAATGTTTGCGCGTGTATAGATAGACCTTTAGAACACTTGTATTGTACTGTGTTGCATGATCGTGTGCGGTATGGTATGGTATTGTCTTGTATTCGCCATCGTGGTGCTGGGCAAGGAGTGGGCGTGTCTTCAGGTCCACTGCCTCATCCCATGGGCCCCAACCCTCGATCCTGAGGGTTCTTAAAAGAGCCCAACCCCCGAAATCATAACTCTCTTTGGGTTTGCCGCGAGCCCCCCGGACTTTGGATCGTCTTCTCGCGTGTTTGTTTCGGGCCCTAAGGGGCCCCAGGGCGAACCGAATGGCCCCCCCGAGGTGGTCCTAAAGGGCCTCGAAACACCAAATGACCTTCGACTCCCAAGGTGGCCCCCAGACGGCCCAAGAAGCCTCCAGGACGACCCAAGAGGCTTCGCTTGAGAAGGCCCCAGGGGGCCAACACAATTTCTTTGTCCGCAGTTTCTGAAGGTTTCGGGCGTTCTCGCCTTTTCGTCGGCATTCCGCCACTGCCCGCTGCCCCGCAAAAGCGCCAGGCTACAAGCCTGAAGCTGCGAGGCCCACATTGGAACAGAACGCTTTCGCCTGCAGTGTTGCCCGGCTTCCACGGCGGGCGGCGGCGTCCGCGCAGCAGCTGTCGACGGATGTGGGTCTTGAGAATCGAGTGAACTTGAGAGCATGCGGGGGGTCTGGTCTGATGAGGGGGGGGCGGCGTCAAGACGAACGACGGCGACACTCTTGCAAGCAAACGATTAGACAAGACGAACGGTTTTTCAGACCCTGAGGCAACTCGATCGGTAAAGGGCGTCTTGGTTCGAGATTTTTCTGGTCAAGAGCGTCTTTGTCGGAAAAAATGAAGCACATTCGTACGCGCCGAATGCATCGGGATCAGTAGAGGGCGGGCTCTGGGCCAGAATACGCGGGAACACTAGGGGCCTTCAGGCACAGTTGGCGGTCTAAAAGAAGTAGTCGAGCATCCACCCGTGACAGAAACGATAGCATATGGTTGGGACAAGAGCGTAGGAGGAGGGAGGACGGTGGTCGTGGGAGGACGGGAGGGGAGGGAAGGAGGACGACGCGACGGGATTTCAAGTAGGGTTCACGACCAACGTAAGTGGAATAACACGTTGATGCGTCATACAGGCGCGCACGCATACTCTTGGCACCACGGCAACACACATGAGCAACGGTAGGCATGATAAGCATGAGTGCGGCGCACTCGAGCGGCGTGAACACCTATACTAATGATAACCTACGTCGTGTGGCATTACGTTCTTGGAGCGAGACGGGGCCACGATCACAGCAAGCCGTTACGGAATCATGTAGCCAATGCATCGGCGATGGCATCGATAACCAGCGTTGTTTTTTTTCATCCGTCCGTGAGCGCGATCCTCGCACTCGCCACCTCCGAGCCGATAGCCCTGCTGCCCTCTGTGGGCCCCTACGGCAGGGCACCCCATCAGCTCGAAACCCGAGCCCTCATCACGAGATTAGAATACAGAAGGGGCGATGAGGCGAAGGTCAGGGGGAGAGGGCAGAGGCAGCGTGCGGCGAGGGACCCCTCGCGCCAAAAGTAGAGAGAGCCCACGGTCTGGGCTTCACGTGTGAAGCGAACCTCCGACGGCCAGCTAGCATCATTGAGCATCCTCGTTTCTCCCTCCCTATCCTCCCCTTCTCCTTCATGCCCTCCTACACCTCCCCCTCCTCCAACCCCCTTATCTCCTCGTTCCTCCTCCCCCTCCTCACTCCCCTCTCCCAAGTGCTATCTGCCTCGAGGTCGCCTCGAGAAACTTAGCTGTCTGACGGCGCCGTGCGCTTGAGGCCGCGCCTCGCCTCTGTGCGAGGCTGCGATGGTGGCGGGCACACGCTGCCCGCCGCTTCCGACGGGGCGAGCTCGTGCTTGACCATCGTGCCCTTGCTCGCGGAGTCGGCCAGGATGTTGGCATTCTGAACCTTGGGCTTGGGCGTCCCGAAGTAGTTGCTCGCCTGATCCGACTTGTCATCGGGGACGGGCTCGTTCGTCTCCGCAGCGATGGCCTCGAGCTCCTTCCAGAACCCTTTCGGGATGTCCATGCCCTTGGGCTTGTGGAGCTGGATGAAGTCCGAGGCACGCTTCGGTCCATCTGGGTCACGACGCATCGTGGCCAGGGCTCTGATGCCCCTGATCATGATCGTCACCTGGTTCGCCTTACCCTGGAGGGCTCGCCAAACAGCCCGCCTCAAAAGGGATTCGACCGTCCGCCGACCACTCCCTCCAAGATCGGGGGCAAGGAGAAACACCTCTTCCTCCTCTTCCTCCTCCTCCTCCTCCTCCCCCTCCTCCTCCTCCTCCTCCTGCTCCTCGTCCTCATCCTCATCCAGGCGAGGCCTCGAAGGGGCCAGGAGAGGCCCAGGGGAGCCTCCAGAGGGAGGAGGGAGGAGGAGGAGAAGGAGGAGGAGGAGGAGGATTGGAGGACAGAGGGGGAGGAGAGTTTGTTGCGGCAGGGAGTAGTGGGCGAACAGCCCACCCCAATTGATCGTCGGCCATTTGGAAGCCGATGGGCCAGACAAGCCATCGCAATGGCGACGGCTTCCGAGGTGAGGTCGTGGTTCTGGAGGCGCGGGGACAGCTCCAGCAACGAGCCCGCGCGCGAGAACCACCGCATGTGTTTGTGTACGTTGTTGTAACAGTGCACAACCTTCTCCAAGTCGCTGAACTGCTTGATCGCGAGCTTCTCGATGAGCGCGCCCGTCTTCTGATCGATCACCGTGTCCCAGTCGGGTAAGACCTTCCTGCACTCCGCAACTGCGCCGTTCACGAGATCTGACATATCAGTGAGCAGTTGCGACTTGCAGAACCCTGCGAAAACTGCGACGGACTTGATCCACTGCCTGGTGGCCTCGACGGAGATGGGACCGACCCATTTCGACTTCTCAAGCTCCTTGATTTCCGTTGAAAGCAAAAGGCTGTCGATCCTCACCAAGCTCTTGCTGAGGATACACTGGACGTGCACGACCTTGCCGAACAACTCATCTGACGTCACTGCTGCCCCCTTCTTGCTGGAGAGAAGACTGTCATACTGCAACGCCGCAACTGCCACCAGGTCTTTGACCTGAACCATCATTTGCAAGTAGGCCACAGCAAGCTCGACGGGCATCTTTACCGCGTTTGGGCCGAAGGTCACATCTGGTACGAAAATGCTGGCGGTACCGCTCGCATCCAGGAACGCGACCAAGTCCGATAAAGCTTTGTAGTGAACGGCCTCCTGCATGGCTGTCTCGTCCTCTTTGGCGCCGTCCTTGAACTCGACGCCGACTGGGAACAGCTTCTTGATGTTGGTGATGCCAAGGACCAAGCGACCGAACGAATCTACAGGAAGCACCTCTGCCAAGACCTTATCGTTCACCTGGCCGAGACCAAACTCAGGAGTCGGCGCTATCTCATCCATCTTGCTGCGCACGAACGTGTCGGAGAAGACCTCGTGCACCTGCGAACCTGGTTGGGCAGCGTTCTGCATCAGTCGCTTCGCCTGTCGCCCCCAATGCCCACGCCCTATCTCCTGAGCTTGAGCTTCTAAGAACTCAATGCTCGTGCGGAGGTGGGGCGCAGACATCGGCGGCGACAGGTAAAGTTGATGCGTAGCTCTGCCCAAAGAGAACCAGCGACGGACATGAAGTCACGGAAGTCGGAGACGATCTTATCGGTAACCGATGCGTCAGTCAACAACGAGTCGGATTGAAACTCGAACACCTCACCGTCGATGCAACGCTGCAAGCCTGCGAACCTGATGAGAACGTCCGTGCACTTGTCCCTCAGCTCAGGCGTCGCGCACTCAAGCTTGAAGTTTGCCAACTGGATGCAATTCTTCAGGTACGTCGCAATGTTCGTCAGCCGACTTCCGTTGTAGCCCACCTCGCTCTCGAATATGACTGGGTTGTTGTGCTTATGGTCCTCGCCGAACTTAGTGATAAACGAATCCCCCACTCGCGAATGAAATGCATTTTTGCACCGCAGCCAACGGGTAAACAGATCATTAAGAGCATTTCCAAAGCGCGGCATGCAGTCCAAGGCCTTGTCGATGTTCTCCTCTATCGTCCTGAGCTGATCCATGACGGTCGGTCCTTGATTCCCTCTTTGGTCGCCACGTTCAGCTGGAACCCCCTCATCACCAGCCTCCTTCTCCTTCAGTTGCTCTGAGGTTAAGGTATCGAGAATCAACGCCGCCAGCTTCGCAATGTCCTTGCAAACTGTGTTCTGGAAGATCGCTAGCATCATGGAGTTACCAACGTCGAGGATGGTGATGCTGTTCGACAAGGTGTCCGCCACGAACTCGCAGTTCTCCTGGCACGCACCTAAGCTCCACTTCGAGGTCGCCAACGTGGTCCCAGTAAAGAGCGGCCCCATCTGCGCGAAATACTCCGTCATCTTCGTGTAGCTTGTTCCAGAGTCGAGCTCCTTAAGCTGCTCATCCTTCCAACCCTCTGGGTTCGTGAACATATCGTCGAACGCCTTTTCGAATGCCGCCGAGGTCGCCTTCAAGGAAGATGTAGCCGCGTCGTCATCGATACTCTGGGCCACATGAGCACGGCTTGACTCCATCATGTATTGGGGCGCAGCGTATGAAGCCACTGCTCGCGCAAGATCTGTATGCGGACGGCCCTCATCAGGCTTCATGTGTTCGGAAAGCAACCTCCTGGCCTTCCTGACGTTGGCGGTGAGGGGCCTCACCTTCTCGTCAGGGTAGCAGCAGCGGGCAATGATCCCAATGCTGTCCAGCACCTAGGTCGAAACAATGCGGTGGCACGACCCCGAATGGTTGCTTGAAGCTAGAGCTCCAGCAACTCCTAACGTGGGGTGAAGGATGGCAATTCGTGAGAAGAGCAGGGGGAGAAGATGATTTACAAAGCATCTGCGTCACGCAGATATTGATATCATCCTCCTCCCCCACCCTTCTCACGTATCACTTCCCTTCCTTCGTAACCACCGCATTGTTTCGAAAATGGCCCGCCTCCATGAAGACGTCGTCGTCGAACTCGCTCTTGATCATCGCGGCCTTGGCGGTGTAGGACGTGATGATGTCGCTAATCTCGGAGACGGTGCCATATGCCTCATTGGGTTCCCTCACCTTAGACTCAGGAAGTAGACAGAACCATTCCGTCAAGCTATCTGCGACCATCCGCTCGAAGTAGAACGTCGGTGGAAAGCCCTCCTGGATGTAGTTGGAAATGTCAGTGATGGTCCTTTTATGCTTCTTCCTCTTCGGCTCCCCCGCTGCCCCTCCGCCAGAGTCTGCGCGTACCGCCTCTCCACCGTCCTCGCCAGCTTCACGTTTCACCTCAGCATCTGGCAACCTCGGTGGCTCGTATACCTCTCTTGCCTTCAACTCCCTGATCTTGACCATGTCCAAAAGGATCGTCGGGTCGTAAAGGTCGATGGCCGTCTTGATCGAGCCCTGGTGCTTAACCATCGCATGGAACACAGATCTAGCGAACATGATATTCAACTGCTCCGACATAGGCATGAGCTTCACAGTCTGGTAGCCAAGCAAGTAAGAGAATGGTACAAGCAAATCCTTGATCGTCCCGTTGGATTGCGATTCTACCCAATACTTGACAAGCTTGTGCAACTCGATCACTGACTCGATGCGCTTGTCTAGTTGATAGTATGCCTTCTGTATCGCGAACGAGGCCTTGCCGATGATTTCATCCTTGCCACGCTTCTGCAACCTCCTGTGCAGCGCGTGCAGAGTGCCCAGGACGGTCTTGGGGAACCAGTCGTCGTTGCCCAGCTTGTCGGCGTAAGAGTTGATGGTGCCCCTGATCCTCCCAAAGTTCGCCATCGACGTGCCAGACGGGAGATCGGCTTCCAAGGACAGCTCGCTGACCCCCGTGCTATCAAGAGCGGAGCCCTCAACCGCAGGCTCAGCACCCTCGCCTTGCTCCGCATCGCCGTCGCCTTGGTGCACTGGCTGCGCCATGCTGGACTCATCCGAGGGGATGATTGGTGGCTTAACTGCCGTGTGCGATATCATCTTGATCATCTTGGGCGCCATGAGCTTGAACTGGCCCGTCACCAAGTCGTCAATGGTAGTCGGGGCAGCCTCGACGCTGCCGCTGCCTTCGCCAGAAGCTGCATGCTCCTCCTCGGAGCCCATCGCACGCTGCGAGTCGTCAGGCTTGACCTGGGCGCTGTTGGCCATGGTCCCAGAGCGTGCCTCGGCCCCACCCTCCTGCTTCACCTCAATGCGCGAATCGATGACGTTGAACTGCTCCCTCGAGCTACCCAGGCGCCGAAAGCTGCTCTGCTGAGGCTGGTCCTCACACTCCAAAGCGAGGGATGCGTCGGCCAGCTCGACATCCAAGTCGAAGGTCTCCTGCCTCGCCAGCCCCGCGTCGACGTCGGCACTGGTCCCCATGAGAATGAGGAAGCTGTGCAACAATTGCAAGGACGGATGCACAAAATCCTTTGGGGCTCACCCCAGTCAACAACACCTGGAGCCTAAAAGTCGGATTCTGATAACAGGGATCTGCCAATGCAGAGGTAACTTGTGGAACGTGCGACACGCTCTCATCAGCGTAGTGCCGCCAACACGAAAACGCAGGTGGAGGAGGAAAACGGTGAGGAGGAGGAGGCAGGAGGACGACGAAGGAGGAAGAGGAGGGTGAGCACGAGCAGGAGGAGGAGGAGGAGGAGGGAGCAGGTGGGCATACTGTCAAGACACCAGAAGCAAACGTGGATGAAAGGAAACGCTGTTCAGACCTAAGAATGCCCAGCGAGACCAAAGAGACCAAAGATACCCTGAAGAAACCTAGACACCCAAAGATGCCACAGATACCCAGGAGACATTGTTCTTAGGATGTAAGGCACGGGTGGCACATGTTTCCTCCTTCTCCTCGTCCTCTTCATCACCCTTTCCCTCTCCTCTCCCTGATCCTCCTCCCCCCTCTTGTTCCCGCCGGCCTTTTTTTTGATTCCGTCCCCCGGACTCATTTCATATTTCCGAGTTTGCCTGCCAGATTATTTCCAACCCAAGAAGGCCTCATTCGGGGCCCTCCAAACCGTCGCTGTCTTCCACGTCCATATCGTCGAAGTCGCTAGGCAAAGTGAATGTACTCGGCGCGGACCAAGGCACTGTAACACTCGGGCCGCTCTCGCTATCATTGCCGTCGGCCCCTGGAGGTGGAGCTGGCGTTTGGCCTGGGACTCGAAACACAAGCCAATACGAGGGGACGTGGAGGCGCGGGTCTCCTGCATCCAGCGGGAGCCAGCGCCACTTCACAAAATCAAAAGACGGCATCGGGACAACCTTCGAGCCTAGACATTATAGATTGTGGGGGGGGGCCCGTGGTTGAGCTCTTGAAGTGCTGAGGTGGGCTCTCTGTTTGATAATACTCGATTGCGGTGCTGGTGGTGACGTGCATGTGTGTAATGTGAGATGTGCGTGCTGCGTGTCGGACAAAGAAGCATGGCTAATGTAGTACACGGAGAATACAGTGTTACGAATTAATGTTGGGTAGGATGCGCGTGGATGTGTTATAGTAGATACACAGGTAGGTTGTATAATGATAAGGGAGGGCCAGGTTTGTGCAC